TTTGAGTGTCGATGTCAGAAAAATCTAGTAAATTTACAGACTTTGCTTAACCCGTGCGAATACGATACAAGTAACAAAGAGATGGGCATCAATTTGTAAATGACCGGACGTGCCCAGATTGTACTTATCCCACGCAAATAGGACTAAAGATGTATTATTTTTTTGTTTTTTAGTCGTGTAATGAAGAAACGTATGAAAAATAATCCTAGATCAAAACTCGAAATAAGCAAATCATCATTACAGATCCTTGTTTCACACTAGATGATGCCAAAAACTACAGCCAGCAAGCATTTTGAATTGAAATTTAGTCTTAATCTTGCATAATTAGGACTAAAACAAATATATGAACAGTAAATGAAACAAAAGACAACAATAATAAGGCATATGGCTGAATACACCTCCATTAAACTTGTCCCTCTTGACCCTCTCAGACACAGCCCTGTGGCTCCAATCAGCCTCAGTCTAATTGTTCTTTTAATTATGAATCACTGTCAAAGGCTTCATGACCAATTACTCTGCTCTTTATTCCTTTATCAAAGTGTCATAAAAGTGGAGAATGTGGCTAACTGTTCCAGACAGAAGATGGCGTCTCTAAATTGACTTTGCTCCGGTGACCTGGAGACAATATGAAAAACAATTAGTAAGAAAAGAGTTGGAAAGTGTTTGATGGATGACCTCAATTATGAACAAGGTAACTTCAATTCTGATTAGCCGGTAGACCTACACTTGACGAGACCACCAAACGAAAACATACAAATAATCTGTCAACGCATTTATATTATATTATCTTTTCCTTTTTTAACAAACTTGCAAATTGTCAAAATATTATAAACAGTATAATGCACCATAAAAACTTCAGCCATTTGCTAATTATAGTCTTAACTCTTCCAGACCTGAGGGCAATTTCAGTACATTTGTCCTCACCTGGATTTTTTTCTTTATTTTGTTATTAAAACTAATGATTTTACCCCCTACAACACAGGTGTCAAACATGCGGCCCGGGGGCCAGATCCGGCCCTCCAAGACCTTTAATCTGGCCCTTGGCTGATTTTCTACTAAAATATTTTAATTCTGTTTTTTTATTAAAATATTGTTAATTTTCTGTGGTGTTTATCACAGCAGCGTCTCCAGCGTCTCTGTACGTGGCCCCTCCCACCAGAGCAGCACAAATGAAGACTTGTCTCTTTCCAAACGCTCTTAAAGGACGATCGTTTTGACTGTTGACCGTGACACCCTCATCACAAAAATGTCCAAAATGAGAATAGTGGAGCCGAGTGCAGGATTTTCCAAGAGAAATCTACTTATTCCTATTTACATACAAGTTCATGTTAAAACATTGTGTTGAAATTGTATTTTTCTTAAAGTTTCAGGTTGTTCATAATATTATAATATTTTGTAAAAGAAAGAGTTCATCAATTAAAAAAGATTTCTGTAATAGATTTGTGTTTCTCTGCACAAATATTTGAACTTATAATTATTTTTGAGGTTTATATGACATGAGTTTTCTGATCCGGCCCCATAGTAGGTTGGATACGACCCCCGGACCAAAATGAGTTTGACACCCCTGCCCTATAACCTGTTCTTTCACAATCTGCTGCTGTAGTTGTGTGATATGGCTGCAATAAAAGCTATAGAAATACAAAAAAAAAAAATAATAATAATAATAAAATTCACACTCTTTTATACAAAACACACAGCAAACATATATAAACAACTTTTCGGACATAAAAAAAACGCCTAATTTAGGGCCTTAGCTACAAAAGTGCAAAATATCAAGTCTGTAAGTAAACTAAAAATCTCCTTATTGCCTCAAAACAAAAAAATAAAGTGCAATAGCCCCATGACTTTCCTGTGTCAGTCATGGAAACAGCTGGTGTCAGGTCCAGGACACAGAGCCACATCACTTCCTGCATTTCCATGGGGTTTATTACTTTTGGATTTGTACATATGGACTGAAATAAACCTTTCAAATGAAAATATCAAGGGATGCACATTTATGCAGATCAAAATGTGTAATGTGCCATTTATCTGAGAAATATCTGCACTTAGAGCAGAGATTTCAATTTTTACGAACAGATGCTCAGGATTTTTCAGTCTTAAATGATTTTTAAACGTGTGACAAAAAGTACACATCACGGACACGAGGAAAATCTTATGAGATTTTAAATCTCCGATCACAAAGACTGATGTTTGCTGTTTCCTGTCTCAAGTAAAACCACCTGCTTTGAGACTCTTAAGTGCTCAAAAGATCAAGTCGTGATGTGATAATAATGGAAAAAAAAAAAAAAAAAAATTATTAATTAAAGGGGGCCAAGCAGTATGGATGGATTTTTTTAATGTATTTATTTTTTATGTTTATTTTATTATTTTTTTATGATTTATTTATTTTTTATGTTTTATTTTATTAAAAATGTTTTTATGTATTAATGTTTAATGTATTACTTTATTTTTATTATTTAATTTTTTTTACGTATTTATTAATTTTTTGGGGGTTTTATTTAATTTTTTATATATTTATATTTCATGTTTTATTTATTTATTTTCTGATTTATTTTATTATATTTTTTATGTATTAATGTTTTATGTTATATTTAATTTTTTATGTTTTATTTTCTTTTATTTTGTGTGTATTAATGTTTAATGTTTTATTTTATTACATTTTTTTCTGTTTTATTTTATAATTTTTTCATGTATTTACATTTTTTGTTTGTTTTTGTTTTTCTGTTTTATTTTATTCTTTTTTACGTATTTATGTGTTTTTAGTCTTTCATATCCTATTTTGTTTTTTTTATGTGTTTGGGGGAAAGAAGTAGTCGTCTTTTTATTTAATTTATTATTATTATATTACTTAATGTTCTATATTCTGTTCTCTTTAATAAAAAATATGTTTGCGTGCTCTATTACAATTGTAGTTTTACCATCGCTGCAGAACAGAAGATCCATTCATCCAACTTTGTTCTTCTCTGCTAATTCTTCTTCCACTTTTTCTTTTTGACTCCGCTCTTTGAAGAAACGTTTAGCGGTCGAGCTGCTGCCCCGCCTCCCCCCGACCAGCAGATGGCGACCCCGCGGCCCCCTGCGGTCCGCGGAGCAGGGCACATGGTGGGGCGGTTCTGGGGGAACGGTTTGGAGCCTGTGGGAGTCTGGACAGGACAGAGACCGGTCTGGCCTCTCGTCTGCTGCTGTCCATCTGAATCTGAGGCTGGGCACAAGGCGCTAATCTGCAGGTTAATGTGATTTGGGACGAGGGGGAGGGAGGGGGAGAGGTGCGGGGGTTCAATTAGAGCAGAACAGATGAGAGGAGGAAAGAAAATAAAGACGGGCGCAACAGAATCTGAAGGACTTGTATAACTTGTTAAAAATGTTGTATCTTTTTCATTTCAGTTTATTTTAAAGGTATTTTCTGATCACGCAAAGTTAAAATTAGGGCTTTGGAGGTGCCGATATAACAGCCGATATATTTAGTGATGTAAAAATTCACTGTAAATCTTCTTAAACTTAGATTTTACTCTATTGGATTTTAAATTAGGTTTATTTAGGCTACAATTACTTTTATTCTGCCTCTTCACGGTCATATTTAAAGACCGTAAATCGGCCCAATGGCATTTTAAGATGACATTCTAGCCTGTAAACAAAGTCAAAACTACCACTATGAGCCTTTAGTGGTAAATGTGTGTGCACAACAGTAATTAATTATATGCGTAAATGCCGACCATTCAGACTATTCACAGTTCATTTATATATCAGTGCAGGTTCAGTAACATTTACATCCACTATAGTCACTTTACAGTAGGTCAATGAGAGAAAACAGGTGGTTTATTTGTGGTAGTTTACGGGAGTTAAACTCTAACCAATGAAAAAGAATGAAAAGTAGCTTCAAAACCAACACATTTGCAACTCTCACCGCTCACACAGGCTCCTCTCAGATCACAAGTCTGCACTAATAAGTGTCTTTTTAATTCTGACTCAAAACAATCGTCTGGAAAATTAATATAATCCAGCATGTTGACAGAGGACAGTTGTCCTCAGGAGTGTCAAACTCAAATTCACAGAGGCCAAAATTAAAAACTGGGACTAAGTCATGGGCCAAACTAAATATGCACTGAAAAATTTCAACAACATCTGCATGTTTTCTCTTCTTTTGAGATATGTAATCCTAAACCTTTTCTTATTAAAATAAATGTTTAATAATAGTTTTGCTTAAACATTGAATCTAGAACAAGCAGAATACAAAATAATAACAATTTTAAATAAATAATGTCTCTATAGTCGATCTGTAGCCGGGGGGCAGCTCTAACACATATTTAATATGATCTCGCGGGCCAAAAATTATTATATTATGGGCCAAATTTGGCCCCCGGGCCTGAGTTTGACATGTCTGCTCTAAGGGACAGTCCTCTCTGCTCCACATTTGCACTTGATAAAAACAGCAGTTTTGTTTCTGGCCTAAACTTTGCTTAAATTCACTTTTACTTATCGTCAGTATCGAGGATCAGACATAAGAACCTTTAAACCTGCGCCACAGTGTTGTGCACTGGTGTAAAGAAGGGCACATGAGTGATGTGACTCTAGGGGTGCGTTCAGGGGCAGTACGGCATCACAGACACAGACTAATTACTCCGCAGATAAATATTGATGCAGTGATAATATCGGCCAACCGATATATCAGTCAGACCCTCGTTAAATCCACACATGAAAACGTTCCCCATGGAGATAGAAACGTTTGGGGTCATACTCTGTAAGATTATAACCACAGCTACAACATTTCCATGGAAACAAGCAGAAGGAGGCCAAATAAAAGTAAGGTTTGTGGAGATGCAAGCCCACTGACAGTAAAGTGCAAGAAACACAAACAAAATGAATAAAACTGTTACACTTACAACATACTGTCGCTCTAATGTTCTTCATTAGAAGTTTTATGTTTCCCCATTTCCAAACAGACAGAGCATTTGAGAGAATTTACAAAATGAAGTTTATGTGTGAGTAAAACTCGTCCTTACCGTGAAAATCGTATTTTTATTTTCTGTGGTGGTCCGTCTCTGGCAGGCGTACTGAGACACTGTGCTCTCAGGAGACGGGCCGGGACAAGTCTTCACCCCAGTGTCCTTTTGACAAACAAATAATAAACACATTATTAGATATAAATGTACATCAATTTCGCCACTTGCTTTATCAATGTCAACACATTAAAGTTTACTAAAGTGCACAGCAAAGGGTGAACATAAAAAAAACATAAACATTAGTCAAAATTCTTTCAAATTTGAATTGATTTTAGTAATTCTACTTTTTTACTACTAATTATAATGCATCAGTTTCATTAAATCCTTTTCCGGATACTTAAAGGTGATTTACAGATCATTGTTCATTCACTCCACACTCGGTGGTGATAAACTACTATTGTAGCCACAGCTGCCCTGGGGCAGACTGACAAAAGCGAGGCTGCCAGTCTGGCGCCCCCCTGTGGAACCTGATTTTCCCAGTGGTCTCCCATAAAAGTACTGACAAACAAAACAAAACAGTTTCATTTCTCTTTTTTTTTAACCAACCCTCACATCCCCAACAACAGACACAAGTAAACTTATATTTTAAAAGATGCAAAGGTGCACTTATTAACTTTTAGGTGGAGGGTTTTCCATAGAGACGTTATTCCTTTCCCTGGTAAAATTCACAGTTGGCACGTTTATATGAGAGCTTTAATCCTGAATAAACATAATTGAATTCTGAATAAAAATGAATTCCACTTTAAAAAGACCATGTAAACACTTAAATCTGAAAGAAAATGATTATTCAGAATTAAACTTAATTCTGAAGTAAGTGGGTAGTTCATTGTGATTTTAAAGCCAAATTAATTTATTCCTCGATCATGTAAATGTTTATTCTTCTTAAAAATAATTCCGGTCCTTCAGCACATGCTTGTTGGTTCGTCCTTCTGACGCTCCACCAGCTCCACCAGTCCTGGCTTCGGACTTTCATCCACGTCTCTTTGGATTTGTGAGCGGGATGTGGGAGTGGGCTGAGGTAGAGCAGCCTCACACTCAGTTCGTCTTCTTCCTCCTTCTCTGACACTCTTCCCTTCTCCTCCTCAGCCGACAGACGTAAAGCGCGATGACAGAATTCTCCAGCTGCTGCACAATTATCATCGGAACAACTGCGAAAAAAGTTTGGATCGTGTTTGTGTCCGTGGCGTAACGACAAACCGAGATGACAAAAAAGCCGGCAGCAGCTGAAGTGTGTGTTTTCTTCCCGTCGACGTAAATACGTTGGTGTCTCTGTCCAATCAGAACCCTTCTCCACCCCCAGACATTGAGCGGAATTAAATAAAGACGATCCAATCTATTTAATTCGGAATTTAAAAAAAACCCATAATGTAAACGTGCCCATTCTGGCTTTAAATGTATCTATCTCTTTAGAGGTTGTGGACTCTTCTACAGAAAAGTCAATACACCTTAAAAATCTAAATTATATTCTGAATTCATATCATTTTCACAGTGTATTTCAGTGTGCGGCTCTTCTCAGACTGGAGCCCATAATAAGCAGTAGTTTGCCTTACAGAAGTTATTTTTATGATGGCCGTGCCCAGGGCTAACAGGCTAACAGCCGTCTCCTTAAAGCCTGCTCCATCTGTACTCGCTCCACAGCTTTACAAATCTACAGCCATCATCCAATTTACTGTGCCTCAAATTACCCTCACGGTGAAGAAGCATGTTCGAGTGTGTGAAAAGCATTACCGATCTCGTGGCTATTACACTAATTACCAAAACAACATTTTTAAGATCCTGTATTACATCTTGTGAGCTTTAAGCCGTGTTATAATCCTGTTACCTCCTCAAAAACACACCGGAGTTGTTAGTGAGTTTTGTTTCATTCACACGTTTGAGTAATCCTTTAGTATTAATCTGTCTACATCTCAAAGTTCAAAATGCTCTGTTCCAAAAATTATGATCTGTAATTACTTAATCTGATTAATCTCTTTTTTAATCTCACCTAAAAATTGCAGAGAAAAGCTTCAACTTAAGGTATTTTCATTTGAATTCATTATTACATTTTTTTCATACTATCATTAACATTTTTTATAGAAGTATCATCATTATTACTATTACTAATCTGCATAAATAAACTTACAACATATAAACAAACACTCTAGACCAGGGGTGTCAAACTCATTTTGGTCCGGGGGCCGTATCCAACAGACTTTGATCCCAAAGGGGCCGGATCAGAAAACTCATGACATATAAACACCAATAAATTCAAATATTTGTGCAAAGAAACACAAATCTATTACAGAAATCTTTTTTAGTTGATGAACTCTTTCTTTTACAAAATATTATAATATTATGAACAACCTGAAACTTTAAGAAAAATACAATTTCAACACAATGTTTTAACATGAACTTGTATGTAAATAGGGATAAGTCAGTTTTTCTTGGAGAATCCTGCACTCGGCTCCACTTTTCTCATGTTGGACATTTTGTTGATGAGGGTGTCACGGTCAACAGTCAAAACGATCGTCCTTTAAGAGCGTTTGGAAAGAGACAAGTCTTCATTTGTGCTGCTCTGGTGGGAGGGGCCACGTACAGAGACGCTGGAGACGCTGCTGTGATAAACACCACAGAAAATTACCAAGATTTTAATAGAAAATATAATGAAAATATTTTAGTATAAAATCAGCCGAGGGCCACATTAAAGGACTTGGAGGGCCGGATCTGGCTCCCGGGCCTTATGTTTGACACCTGTGCTCTAGAGCCACAACAGCCCATTTGACATTATAATGTGTTTAATGCAGTTTTGTGCAAGTCTCACAGAAACAAAACTTAAAACCACATGATTCATTTGCATAAACTAAGTGGAGAAAAGGAAAAAAAAAACGCTCTTGTGCTGATGTGGTTCAGCTTCTACTAAAGGATTCGACTCAGTGGAATAATAGTGTTCTTTCTGTGACAGAGGGATGTTGATGAAGGTGAAGGTGAGTCTGTTCTGTGTCTGTGTCGATGTTTTCAGAGATCAGACATGTGCAGGTTTATCGCTGATGCGGCGAGAACGGGAATGAAAATTACAATTCTTTACTTTTACGAAAAAGGAAACCTTTGACTGCCTAAATCATCCCGAGTTTGCAGAGAACATTTTGTATGTGGAGCGCCAACAAAGCAAAATCCCGATCCCTCACTCAACCTCAATTACAAATTTAAAAAGTCAGCGCCAAAGCAAAAGGCACCAACTGTTCACCAAGAAACACCTTCCACTGCAAAGAGACCAAGACGTGATGTTGCTGTAAAACCACAAGAACAAGAAAGTGCAGCTCAGTCTGTTTGTCTTCTGCACCTCTCCTTAACAAACGGGATTTTGTTTTGATGTCGCTCCACATCCAAAATGTTTGCTGCAAATTCGGGATAATTTAGGCAGTGAAAAGTTTCCTTTTTCGTCCTTCCTGTGGATCAATCCTGCCCATCGCCTTCACCTTTCACTATTTTTCAATTCCGTTGGGAAGGGAAACAGTTTGAACAGAGGTTTGCAGTTACACACTTCTGATTCCCTTTTGTATTTATGGAGTTCGCAAACAAATTTCTCGAGCCGTTTTCCGCTGTTAGGACATCCAACAACCACACAATTACGATGTCCGAATCCCAAAACTAAAATATGACAATATCAGAACAAGAAACAAAAGTGATATGGTTCAAAAGACTTGAAAAGATCAGCTTTGTCAATAGACGCATCCCACTGTAAAATCAAACATGGCTGTTTGATGCTCATTTTTTTGGAGAATTCTTCCCAGTATGGATTGCGCAATGACCGGAAGTCCGAAATACTTGATGTGTCTATAGGAAATGTGAACGATCTCGCAAAAAAATCGGATTTCACAAAAAAATCCAAGTCTCGGTATTGATACTTTGCAGGGACATCTTGCTGGGGGTGTTCTACATGTGTCTGTATGGTGAAATGTTCAGCAGAAGAAGTCTAAAGTGTGTCCTTTCTTCTATAACCTTTCAGTCTCTTCACAGACTTTCTGCATTCGGCGCCTGTAAGTGTCTGTCCTGAGCCAGTCCATTTAGACCCAGTAATGAAGTCCACAGCCCACAGCACACGGAGGTCAAAGGTCGCAGAGAGCACGGCTGCGGTGGCGACGGCTCACTCGCTTTCACTTAACACTGACGCCAGCTCTGGCACTTGTCAGCACTAAACGTATTTTCCACTAAAAAATAATCCAGTAGTTATATTTCTAAAGGATTTCCCACTAAGTTTTATCGATCGATCTTCCACGCGTCACGTTCAAACAGGCAGGGAGGGTGAAGTGTCTTGCCCAGGGGCACGTGTACTGGTCAAAGATGGCACTGAACCCTCAATTTTCTGGTTTGAAATTAAGATTTCTATCTCCCCAGCCACTGTCATCCAAACCAAAAAATGCACTCTCTTATGACTGATGTTAAAGGTGCACTTTGTAACTTTTCTGGTGGAGGGTCTGTCTCCAGTATCCATGTTATTTTTTTAAATAAATTGCACTTTATTGCAATTTACTGCTCAAAAGTATCTTAAAAAAATGCACTCTTATTGTGACCAGACTCACCTATACATAGATCTGACCTCAAAGGGCCCATATTGTCATGGTTCATGTTTTGTAGTCGTTGTTTTTGCTTATTTTGATATCTTTTTCCTGTAGTGTAGTGTGCCTGTAACGAACGGCCTGTTCGTTACGTAATAATTACACATGCACTTTCATTCACTTCGCACTTTATATATATTTACATTGCACAGTATAGCACGAGGCACTTATAAGATACGCTAATTTGCACATATTAACATATTAAGAATTGCACACATTTGTATTGTTTTAAAAAATATATTTATTGAAAACATTGTCGGGTGTCACGTGGGCCGGTCGGACGGGCACTTCCGGGTTTGGCGGCTGCCGGCTGCGGAGATACACCGAAAATTACAATTGGATAGTGTGCAATATATGTGCCGTGTTTTAAATGAGTTTGTGTCTTGTGTGTGTTTGCGTGTGTGCCATGTGGGTATTTTAGAGTGTGAGAGTGGTATGTGCGTGCATGTTTGGTATGTGACTTACCCGTGTCTTCTGTCCAGGTGTCTGGCGAAAAGATTCCCCGGGGAA